TGTGTGTTTGTTTAGGAGTGAGTGAGTGAGTGAGTGAGTGAGTGAGTGAGTAAGTGTGTGTTTAACACGTTAGTGTGTTTGTCTGAGTGTGTGTTTGTGTGTGTTTAAGAGTGAGTGAGTGTGTGTGTGTTTAACATGTTAGTGTGTTTGTCTCTCTCTCTCTCTCTCTCTCTTTCTCTCTCTCTCTCTCTCTCTCTCTCTCTCTCTGTGTGTGTGTGTGTGTGTGGTTTGTCCTCATATTCATCACATTGTAAGTGTGTGTTCTTGGATATGTTTATGTGTGTGTGTGTGTGTGTGTGTGTGTGTGTGTGTGTGTGTGTATGTGTATGTATATGGTACTGGTATTCATCACATTGCAGGGACCAAATGTCCCCACGAGTACAACAATACCAGTCAAGTTTATCCTTATAGGGACATTTTCTTGGTCTCTAAGAGGAAAAGGGCTCATAAATAGACAGAATGGAGTGTTGAAAGTGTAAAAATGCTGAATATTTGTGTTATGGGTTGAGTTTAGGGGTGGAGGACAGAATATATAGTCTGTACAGTGGAAACATCATCACAGCAGTGGTAAGAGCTCATAAAATATGAAAACCCAACATGTGTGTGTGTGTTCTTGGATATGTGTGTGTGTGTGTGTGTGTGTGTGTGTGTGTGTGTGTGTGTGTGTGTGTGAGAAGAGAGCTCGTCCCCTGAGATTGTCAGGTGATTACACACACATTACAGTGCTCTGCTTCCCGTGTCACATTAAAATTGCGCTGGCTCCTAATGGCGTCTTTATCCACCTTCCTTCCCTCCTTCCGCCCCCTCCTCTTCTCCGCCTTTTCTTCTTCTACCCGAATGACTGTGAAAATAACCTCAGAACAAAAGGTCAAGTGACTGTTTTTTTGCTTCTCTGCACCCTTCATTTTTTTATTTAAGGGCCAGCTATAGAGCTCTTGGAGGAAGCCTAGCATGAAATTGTAATGCGGTGATAAACAATAGGTGCTGAGTGTGTGTTTGTGTGTGGTGCGGTAATGCACGTGTGTGTGTGTGTGTCACTTCACAGGGACCCTGCAATTGTGCGTGTGCATTGATCCTGTGTGGGGAAAAAACACGCACATGTGACCTGCAATTTTGTGTTATTTTGTGAGTAAAGGAAGATGATGAAGTGTTTATGTAGTTTGTTAGTTTTCTGATGACGCAAACAATTAAAAAGACTTGGTCTTAAAAAAAACACACAGTATATTAAACTTCAGATTTGCACTCACTGGCCACTTTTTTAGGTACACCTGACTAGTACCGGGTTGGACCCCCTTTTACCGTCAGAACTGCCTTAATCCTTCAGAGATTCAGCAAGCTACTGGAAATATTCCTCAGAGATTTTGCTCCATATTGTCATGATAGCATCACACAGTTGCTGCAGATTTGTCGGCTGCACATCCATGATGCCAATCTCCCGTTCCACCACATCCCAAATCTGCTCTATTGGATTGAGATCTGGGGACTGTGGAGGCCATTTGAGTGCAGTGAACTCATCGTCATGTTCAAGAAACCAGTCTGAGATGATTGAGCTTTATGACATGCTGCGTTATCATGCTGGAAGTAGCCATCAGAAGATGGAGACACTGTGCTCATAAAGGGATGGACATGGTCAGCAGCAATACTCAGGTAGGCTGTGGCGTTGATGCTCAATTGGTACTAATGGACCCAAAGAAAATCTCCCCCACACCATTACACCACCACCACCAGCCTGAACCGCTGACACAAGGCAGGATGATCCATGCTTTCATGTTGTTGAGGCCAAATTGTGAGCCGAGCATCCGAATGTGTCAGCAGAAATGGAGACTCATCAGAGCAGCAACGTTTCTCCAATCTTCTATTGTCCAGTTTTGGTGAGTCTGTGTGAATTGTAGCCTCAGTTTCCTGTTCTTAGCTGACAGGAGCGGCACCCGGTGTGCTCTTCTGCTGCTGTAGCCCATCCGCCTCAAGGTTGGACGTGTTGTGTGTTCAGAGATGCTCTTCTGCAGAGCTCGGTTGTAACGAGTGCTTATTTGAGTTACTGTTGCCTTTCTATCAGCTGGAACCAGTCTGGCCATTCTCCTCTGACCTCTGCCCTCATCAACAAGGCATTTGTGCACACAGAACTGCCGCTCACTGGATATTTCCTCTTTGTCGGAGCATTCTCTGTAAACCCTAGAGATGGTTGTGCGTGAAAATCCCAGTAGATCAGCAGTTTCTGAAATACTCAGAGCAGCTCGTCTGGCAGCAACAACCATGCCAGGTTCAAAGTCTCTTAAATCCCCTTTCTTCCCCATTCTAATGCTCACTTTGAACTGCAGCCGATCGTCTTGACCATGTCTACATGCCGAAATGCAGTGAGCTGCTGCCATGTGATTGGCTGATTACACATTGATGTTAACGGGCAGTTGGACAGGTGTACCTAATAAAGTGGCCGGTGAGTGTAGATCCCACACATAAGTGGATATAAAAGTTGGATATGGAGTTTAAGAAGAAGCACAGATAAACAGCAGAGTCTCCATTGACTGATGCATTATCACACACTTCTGTAAACATTTAACCTTTTTTACACTAATAACACCAGTCCTATTTGAATCTTCTGTTATGCCTGTGCAGCTCCGCCCTCTTCTGAAAAGAGCCCAGTCTCAGTTGAATTTAAAGCGACAGTCTTCAAATGCCACAATTAGGATCAGAGCCTAAAACGATCAGTTTCAGAGAGTTAGAGAACGTTATCTGTGTGCTATTTTTAGCTTAAACTTCACTGCACACTCTACAAACAGAAACACATTACATCTTGTAAAAAGGGGCGTTATAGGCCCCCTACAAAATGTTCAAATAAGAAATGACTTATTTCTCTGTTCGAGGTGAACTGATTAGTTTTCAAAGTGAGTTCTGCTGAAACGAGCTACAGGCGACAAGATGTTGGCATGACCAGCGATGTGACAAACTTGAGCAAAGTTTCACTTTATGCAAATGTGCAATGACTACCAATGAGAAAGAAGACAGCAGAACTCCTGCCTCCTGCCAGCTATTGTAGTTTAAAAAACGCAAGAGAAGTTAATCTTTGCTTGAGCAGATTCCTGATTTTAGATGTATGTCTGCTTATAATGTTCTTTGCAGTCTGTTCTGTACTAATAACATTCATTCATTTTATTTTTGGCTTAGTCTTTTATTTATCGAGTGTTGCCACCGCGAAATGAACTGCCAACTTATCCACATATGTTTTATGCAGCGGATGCCCTTCCAGCTGCAACCCATCACTGGGAAACACCCTCTTGCATTCACACCCACACATACACTATGGCTAATTTAGCGCATGTGTTAGGGTGGCCAACACCAGGAGAACATGCAAACTCCACAGAGAAACACCAATTGACCCAGCCGAGGCTCAAACCAGCGACCTTTTAGCTGTGAGGCGAATGCACTACCTACTGCGCCACTGCGTCACCGTCCTGATTAATAACATATCTAATGTAATCTGTTTGTTTCAGCTGCCAGACTGATCTACAATAATAAGCCAGAAAATGGTGTTTTTGCCGAGGAAGGTCTGTTTGATCATAAGTTAATAAAAGTGTCAATAACTATCATTCATTTTACCAGCATACCCAGCAGACACACAACATCATTAGACTTTAATGTTAGGTTGGATTTAGGGCACCAACGTCTAAGCACAATGTTATTTTGATGTCCAATAATGATGTTGATATTTTGTTACATTTAGGTTGTGGTGGAAAGTGACCAAAATCCAACATCATATTGACGTCAGTTACTGACATTTATTCGTCAGGTATGGCAACCAAAATCCAACATCTGATAGACGTCATATTGGTAACATCAACACAATGTCAAGCTGTAACATCATTAGACATTGTTTTGTTGTTTTAGGTTGTGGTGGAAAGTGACCAAAATCCAACATCATATTGACGTCAGTTACTGACATTTATTCGTCAGGTATGGCAACCAAAATCCAACATCTGATAGACGTCATATTGGTAACATCAACACAATGTCAAGCTGTAACATCATTAGACATTGTTTTGTTGTTTTAGGTTGTGTTGGAAAGTGACCAAAATGCAAAGTCTGTCCTATGTTGGACATTGACATGGGCCTGACGTTGGGTTCTGACGTCAAGCTGATTTTCCATACAAAATGCACGTTGGGGTACAACATCAATCTCCTGTCTTGTTGACGTCCTACACCTGCTAGTTTGTACAGAAGACCTTCTAAAATTCAGGGTGATAATGTAATCAAATTTAAAATTAACCTTTACTTTTATTTATTTAAAAACTTATAATAAGTATTTAGTATCATTTTGATATTAAATATATCAAGTCACTTAAACTGGAGGATTGTTTCACCCATATTTTTTTCCACAAACGTTTTTTAAACATATGTGAGCAGATTATTTAATTTACCAACACCAATATGCAATGTCCCATCTTTGACAGCACATTCATTAGTAATGTTTTGAAAATTCATACATTTTAAATACAATAGCAAGCATTTGATATTTATTATTTAGATTATAAACCACATTTAGAGAGCATAAGAAAGACACATTATTATTATTATCATTATCATCATCATTATTATTATTATTATTATTATTATTATTATTATTATTACAGTAGAACCGATATATTACAACAAACTATATAACACACAACATTAACACCGATAATATAAAACGTTTTACAGTCTTTCTTTAGACATCTCAATGAGATCTGCTCTCACACACCAGCCTCCAGAGCTCATTTGGCTCTTTTATTCAATAAAAAAGAATAATTGTGCCTAATCAGCAGCGCTTATAATGTGGGCCGAAACGATAACTAAATTTCATCATTTCCAACACCGCCTCCATTCAGGGGGGAGAAAATCTGTGCGGTGGAATTTTATCAGACCCCATCTGATTGGCTCTCCGCTAATCTCCGCATACTCTTATTCTATTGGTCGCCGCACCTGTCAGTCAGAGGGTCAGTGCCCGCCCACCCGCTGCTCTAATAAGGCTGATAGTAGCGCTGTGTGTGTGTCAGAATCCCGGACTGACGCTCCGCGTTTCCCGCTCAGTGAGTCCCGCGCGCTCGGTTGCGACATGACCAGAGTCCCGCACTCCTGCCCCGCCAAACATGGAGCACTTTAAATCCTTCATTTCGCTGCTCTGGATATTATTGTTCAACAGAACCCCGGAGTCCCGTGCAGAGGAAGGTACGTTCACGGCTTACAATTATTTGGACGGCAGGTGAATTGACGAGAAGAAGTGATACTGTAACTCGCTGCAGCTGTGTGTGTGCGCGTGTGTGTGAGCGCGTGTGTTCAAATTCCGCCGCTGTCGTGTCAAGTAAAGTTATCCTATATTAATTGACGGTATTAATTCATAAGGAGATCTGATCTAAACTGACATCACGCTCTGAGGGATTTTAAAAACACTTCAAAGAGACCGCTGCCGGTGAAGTGCAACAATGTATCGTTTAAAACATTCTAATGTTCGAAAATTAACGGCTGGAAATTGTTACATTGTTTCTGACAGTATGCTTTGAATTTGTGCCTGAAACTCAATTACATTACTGTAAATGACAGTTGTGTTGATTTAAAATAGATGTATTCATGTATATTAATTTATTAAAATGTATGTAAAAATTTATTAACATATGCTGATTAAAGTTATAATATATATAAAATATTTTTTATTTATCTAATACATTAGATATTCATGACATCAGATACTAAAATACAATTAGATATTTATATACCTAACGTATACATGTAAAATGTGCCTTGTTTTTTATACATATAATGTGTTTTTTTTTCTACATCTCTATGCTTCAGTTTTTGTCGTTTTTCTTTGTCATGCCCTTTTAATCTCCTCCTGATAATACTATGGAATCCAGTTTCAATAGAGCCGGCTGTTATTCCCGATGTGTGCTTTTGTGACTGTGCAGCTCCTGGTGGGATTGTTTGACAGTCAGTTTTGATGCCAGGCTGTCGCATTAGGCTCAGGTGAGGTCAACTAAGCGTCCTAATGAATGGCATGGCACAGAGAGGCAAAGAACAGATAATAACTGCGTCCCTTCAGGCTCTTTGGCCATGCTGAAGAAGCCCAGCTGAGCCTGGGTCTGCCTTTTCTCTCTCTCTCTCTCTCTCTCTCTCTCTCTTGCTCTCTTTATATCTATCTTTCCCACATTCTCTCTCAAATTCAAATTTACAATCAAACTTGCTTTATTGGCATGACGAATGTTATGTATGTATTTCCAAAGTATCTGTGATGTTTACATTAAACAGAACATATTAAAACAAATGACATAGCAGTGAAGAAAAAACAATCATTATCGGTACAGATAACAATAAACAATTTAGGATAAATAACTAAACAGTATATTTTACAACCAACATTTTAGAATAAATAATTATAACTAATTATAAAAATAAATACATTAAACTGTATATTTACCATATAACAATTTGGGATAATAATAAACAAAGAACAGTTTTTAAACATGAATATTTTATGATACAACAATAATAAATAATAAACAGTATTTAACTATAGCAACAATTGAATATTCAGTCTTTCTCTTTCTCCCTTTCTCCGTCTCTCTCTCGCTCTCTCTGAATGGCTGAACTCTGCTGGAATGCTGGTCGTCTGGATTACAATCGTTGGCTTAATGAATGTTGTGACAGCGATTAATTGCTGTGAAAGTGATGTGTCCTGAAAGGTCTTGTGTGTCTGCGGTGGTTTCTGATTGAGCTGAATATGTTCTCACTGTACGCACAACCTCTTTGTCCACAATTACGTCCCGGTCCTGCTGCGGCGCTTCTCTTTGTATTCAGCTCTACTGTATTTTCTCATAGGCAGGTGGGATCCGCGCAGCACCAGAGCTCTTTGTTGGTGCTATACAGTCAGTTGAATGAGAAAATCCTGTTTTCACTTGTGTTCACATCACTGATGCGGTTTTGTTGTAGCATGTCAGAATATCATTTTGTTTTAATTTATTTACAAAGCCTCAAAATTGATCAATTTAGGAGTGGATTGGAATTTTTAGAACAATAACCATTCAGAGGTATGTTTTTTTTAATTTTGTATAAATGCATTAGTGACATCAATTGGTAATGAACACTATTCTACTCGTATTCATTCATTCAATTTCCTTCAGCTTAATCCCTTTGTTCATCAGGGGTTGCCACAGCGGAATGAACCGCCAACTATTTCAGCATATGTTTTACACAAGGGCTGCCCTTCAAGCTGCAACCCATACATACATTGCCACACTCCTACACTACGGCAAATTTAGTGCATCAATTCCCCTATAGCGCATTTGTTTGGACTGTGGGGGAAACCGGAGCACCCAGAGGAAATATTCCACTCATGACATTTTAATTCTCTAAGTAGTGATTTGTAACTAAAGTAGATACACTTAAAGTAGATACGACATGAACTTGATCAATTTCACTTGATGTTTATATATTTTTGAGATGTTGTCTTAACTTTGACACACATTTAATACACTGTAGTGCAAACTTTTGAGGACAATAATTGTTATACATACATACACTTTTTTTCATAAGGATGCGTTACACTGATCAAGAATGAGTTTTATTATTAACGGAAGAGTATTCTCTTATCTATTTATCATTATTTATTGAATGTATATTGCAAAGTGCATATAAATGTTTACACAAAAATATAAAAATGAAAGTCATCAAATCATCATAATTCATAATGCACTGTTAAATATCTGTAAATCAGCAGTTTTCCATATTTTGTTTTTTTTTTTTTTTTCCCATTTTTTTTTATGATTTAGAATTCTATTATGGATGTTGAGCTTTCTTTCAACACTTTTACCCTTAAAAAGTGAAACACAAGCAAAATGTTTAATCACAAAATACAGAAACTGTTAATTTATAGATCTTTTTCACAGTGTGGTCAATGTGACTAGGCATGGGAAAACTTAAGGTTTTAAAACGGCAAAAATGTTCTGTTATGCTATTTCTAAGGTACAGTACGTGTAAGTATGTGTTTTTTTTTACATGTTTTTTTTAAATTTTTTTTTACAATTATAAATAATATAAATAATAAAGAATAAGTTTATTTATTCCAACATCCTATGGTGCTAGTGTTTGTGCCATGCTCCTGAAGAGTGCAGTGGCTTATCCAAAGATGCCTTTTCAAGTTGTAAATTAATCTGTTTTGTAAACTAATAAAGATAGCAGGTCTATGCTGTATTTTGATTATTCAACCTGACATGTTTATCGTTTCAAAATATTTTAAATATTTCTTAAAATATAATATCTTGTGTTCAACAGGAAAAAAGCTGTTGATTTTACCCAGAAGAATATATTTGAAAGCAGTAATTACAATACTGTCATACTGTGATATTTTTATCCAATGTTTTCATAGTGTCAGAATTTTATACCGGGCCATACCTACACTGTAAAACTCAACAGTCAACAACTGAAATGAGTGTAGTTGACTCAAAATTTACTGAAAGTTGATTCTACTCATTTGAAAAGTGTTTTGAAAAGAGTTTTGAAGTTTTAATTTAATATCTCATTACATAAACTTAAGTGGAGTTAGTTCACAGTACTTGTATACAGATGAAGTCAGAATTATTAGCCTGTCTAGTCACCCTAATTACCGTAGTGAAGCCTTTAAATGTCACTTTAAGCTGTATAGAAGTGTCTTGAAGAATATATAGTCTAATATTATTTACTGTCATCATAACAAAGAGAAAATAAATCAGTTAATAGAGATGAGTTATTAACACTGTTATGATTAGAAATGTGTTGGAAAAAAAATCTGCTCTCTGTTAAATAGAAATTGGGAAAAAAGTTAACGGGGCTAATAATTCTGACTTCCACTGGTTTTTAACTCAAATGGTTTGTAGCAATCGGTTTCTTCAAATGATTTGAGTTGCCTTTACTTACTAAGTTTTACAGTACTCGGTTGGTTTAAGTTCTCTTAATTTATTGGGTTTTACTGTGCTCAAATTGCTTTGTTTACTCAAATAAATTAAGTTGACAGTACTCATTAGGATTAGTTTTAGAACTTAAGTGTATTGTTGCAGTTGGTTTTCTCAAATGACTTGAGTTACCTTTTTGGGTTTTACAGTGTACCTGTGACACTGAAGACTGCAGTGATGTTGCTGAAAATTCCACTTTACATCAGCGCATATATAAATTCACTTTATTTTGCTTTAAGCACAAAACTCGAACCGTTCCCCCACATTTTCCCCTGTTCGTCTGGCAGGCTCTTTTTGTTTCCCCCGTGTCTGTCATTATTGCCCACTCTGTAAAAAATATAATGAGCAGTTTCCATATTTAGTGATTCACACGGGTTTATTTCCAGTGGGATGTTGGTCTCTGCTCTGTCCGCTTCTGATGTTGAAAAATCAACTCTAAAGTTTAACAAAGTGACTTTTAGTGACATTTTAGTAATTTGATAATAATTCGATGTATAAGAATAAAATCTAGAGAAATAAGTCTGTAAAATAGCAGAAAATGTGCTGCAGTTTATTACGAGGTTTATGTAGCGTAATATACAACACCAGACAATACAGCACTTTACGCTATTAAAACTGTCAATATTTTCGGGGCCAATGATGCAGTAGTTAATGCGTCGACACATGACTTTTAACTGCAGTTTGGCTCTTTCATTCAGGGAATTCAGTCATGTTCCTTGCGACAAACAAGATATTTGATTCGAGGAACTGCTGTAAGCGTGTATTTTTCATGCAATGTTTGATACCGCACGGCGAATGAGAGAAAAAAAACCTCAGCATTTCCCGGAAACTTAGATGCACACAGCAGGTAGCGTCAGAAAGCCGCGTGTGTTATTCCGGTCACAAAATGCGGTGAAAATCCTACACAAGGTTAAAGTTTGGTTGTGGTGCTAACATGTTTACACTCGGTGCAATAGTTAACTTATTTCGATACAAACAAACTGAATAAACAAAGAGCACTGGTCGCTCACTTACCAAATCTGTAGAGACAGGACAATCACCAGCAACTAGAGCCGCGTCTTTAGAAGGGGAAGACTACAAGCGAATCCGGATCTCAGCGTTTGCAGATGAGAACAGCTCTCAGGTAAACAATAATCCTCCTTAGACACGCAAGTTATCATTGTTGTCGCGCGTCGCGTACACTGTTAATCCACACGTGACTCCAGCTGCGCTCTCACAGAGAGAAAATGAAAACAAAACTTCACTGCA